TAAATAGTAATCTCTATTATGCAAATACATAATAATGGAAAACAGAAATGGACGGAATTTTTTTTTTTTATTCTGATTCCGATTGATAAGTGATAAAATATACTCTACTATACACCGCAGCGGCACACCTTTAAAATATAATTATAGAATCATTATTATGATTTATGTGCGTCATTAGTCATTACGTGCATCAATAATTTTACCTCTATATAGACTGTACGGTATTAAATTGCTATTGATATTCTCGTAAATAATGTTTTTAAAATTTCATTATTGATTAACGTTTTGTAGAGTTCACTGAAATATTATCGAACATTATAAATCATAACAATCTCTATAGAAATTATTTTTTATTTTTTCACTATGTGGATACTGAGGATTTTTGGTTTTTAAATAAAAATGTACATATTTAAATGAAGCTAACCATAAAATCATGAAGTTATATTTGAAATTCCTTCATTTACGAGATTTTAGATAAGACTTGTGAAATTACTTTTTAAGTATTTCACATTTTCACCCAATATCATGTATTTTATGAAATATAAAACAACAAAAATAAACTATTTCTCTATAGTTTATTATTATAACACAAATTATTATTGCACATAAATTTTATAAACAACTCTGAAATGTATTTGCAAAAATATTGATACAATTTTTTCATGGGGTAAATAGGTAACTAATTTCAAATTATAATAGTACTTTATGTTTCGCTTCCGCTACTTAAATTTCAACTTTGCATTCAAAATTTAAGAGTGTTAAAGATTAGCAGTGTTCCGTAACTTATCATCTAGGCTATTTTACAGTTGATAATGAATAATGACTACTGATGGAAGTCAAGACAAGTGATGAAAAAATTGATAAAATTAAGGGTTTAACCATAGAATAACCAGAAAAAACACCACATGGGTTCTTATGGGGGACAGATTTGCAACACCAGGAAAACTAGGAAACCAGTACTGCAAGATGAAAGATAATTATTCTCATTAGGTATTCTATTTTTCTAGCGAAACTGTATTTCCGAATAAAGGCAATTATCTTTATCTTAACAAATATGTAATGATAAAT